CTGAGGGTTGCAGTCCGTTGCCGGACACGAAAAAAGACAAAAAGGAAAAAAAAAAAAAATCTGATGAGAGTTACACAACTAACAAGAAGAATTGGTTATTTCTGGGCACACAACAATTTGAAATAATCAAAATTATGACCGGTAAGTAACATTTATACCAAAACACATCAGATTTCAAGGAAGCTTATACTAAATAGTATAAGAACACATATTAATGACATATCCATATAACCCCAAAAGAAGGTAAAACATCATTTCTTGTTTTGGCAATGCTTCCCATAAAGTTTAACCTATCGGTAAGCCTAATTGGTTTTAGTATCTCTTTTCGATAGATCCTTTGAAAAGCTCCGGGGCTCTTTGGAACATCGCAAAGTTAGTTTGAGGTCAAAGAGACTTAATTTTTAGAATTTAGTTTTGAGAAGTTTGTCAATAACAAAGGTTTAAAACACTTAATGAAATAGCATCCTAAATCATTATGATATAAAGCCAAAGTAACAAAAGCTTTCAAAGGTACAAAGCACAAGAAATTGTCTCAATACAACATCTGTTTCCTAAGCCAGTCACCTAAAAAGGTAAAAACCTCTCACAATTTCCTACTAAGAGCGGATCAATGCCTGGAGAAAACTCGACACAGGAGAGTGAACTGTAGCCTGGCATCCGTGTACTTTTGATATTAATGCTCAATTATCAGAAAAAGATAAATAATTCCCTTCTAATTTTAGCCAACTCGATCACACATAAAATTCCCTTCAGGGGCATGCTGTCTGAGGACAACGACTGGCTTCCCTCTTTCCCTTATCCCCTTTTTCCCGTTTTGCCTGCACAGAGTTCTCTCTCGTGCAAAAGAAAAAATGACTCTCCCTTCAACTTTCTTTACCAAAAATACATCCCCAGTCCTACAGCTTTTTTGCATCTCTCCTGCTTCCTGGTTCCTTCCTGCCTTATTTCTACTTCCTTCCTAAATCCATATTTTGAAACAATCTTTAAATGACCTCTGAATTAGACAAAATTGCTCCTTTTTAACGAAAATATATCCTCATGTCTATTTACAATTTCTCACTGAAAACGTTTTTCTTTCCTTGTACATTTTACATACAGAATCGTTTCTCTATTTCCAGTAGTTTTAATTACATATATTAATTAGAATTTTTAACTGTCAATACCCTTAAATTTGTGAAAACCTAGGAAGTGTTTGTCATATATCAACGTTTATAAATCTGTATTTCATCATTTCTAGAAACATGTATTTTCTCATAGAACAATTTTTTAATGTTTATTGACAGGCCCAAATATAATTAGCTTTCCTGTACCATATAAAAACAAGATATTAATGTATATTAACTTTAAACTTATGCTTGATAACTGTTTTTGTATTTTAACTTATTTAGAAATAACCTGTACATTTAATGAGTATCTGTTACTTAATTTTGCCTTAAAGTATCTGTTACTGAATTTCACCTTAAAGTTTTAAGTTACCAAAAAGGTGTTTTTAAACTACCAAGAGTTTATTTATGAACACATATCCCCCATTCACTTTTTTACAATTTTTAACAACCGCGCTTGAACTCCTCATAAAAATTCTATGAGACACTGAACAAAACTAACCCTCATCTTGCATTATTTTCCTGTCAACATTTTTATAGCATGTGAATGTGAGGCAGCTGCCACCTAAGGAGGAGCCCTAAAGTTAAATACCTGGGTATTTTGCTGATCAGAAAGTTACCAAACTCAGGTCCGGCCGGCCGCCCCCTTGAGAAGGAAAGAAAAACGTCAGAAGTCGCATGGTTGGTGTTAGAGAAGCAGACTGTTCAGCTGAAGGAGACGGCAGGCTGTCCCATCTCACAGATTTAGATTTACTGAGGGGTTTTTAAAGGAAGGCTTGAGGGAGTGGAACGTGGGAGGGGACCGGCAGGAGAGCAGGAGACGTGAGTTATAGGGGCCCGTGTCTATGGGTCAGGCTGTGAGGAAAGTGGAGTTGATGTGGCCAGGACCCCTCACCGCATATCCTGCTGGGTGTAACTCAGTTGTGCAAGTTGTGTCAGTGCGCACGTGCGCCCAGATACTCCTTGGCTCGTGGCCACTCTTATGTACTTTTGCAATAAACAGACAATGGCTGTGGACGTGAGGGTGGGAGGAACATGGCGGAGGGTGGCTTCATGGAGCTGGGCCAACAGGAGCTGACGTCTTCCAGGCTGCGGCCCCCAGCGTGCTGGATTTGCAGCCCCCCACCCCCCAGGACGCTCCCAGGGAAAAGGGAGCCCTGAGGGGGCCACTACTGTGTAAGTTGATGCTGCCAGGGCCCCAGGGTGCCCCAGGAGGCCACTGCTGCTGCTGAGGAAGCTGACGACTGAATTCACATTAGAGTGAACCTGTCCACTCTGCCACTGGCTCCCAGGACCTTTTCCCAATTACCTAGCTTGTAGCCTGGCATATGAGGGGTCTGTGACCCAGCCTGCATGGCATGTGAGGGGTCTGTGACCCAGTCTGTACAATGGGCTTAAAGGGTCTGTGGTCCTGCCCGACACAGGTACAAGCTCTGGCCAAGGCCTCCTCTGGTTTCTGTTCTCGTCTTGGCTGTTATCTCAGGACCCTGCATGATTTTGATTTGCGCGGGTGTATTCAGCTGGTGCCCAAGGTAAGCTTCAGTCATTTGACCTTGACCATTTCTCAAAACTACGAGTCTCAAAGAAAGAACTGTTAGCTTTGCAAAGTATTGATTAACTTCTTGGCCAGTCTGGCTCCCAGGACCTTTTCCCAATTACCTAGCTTGTAGCCCGGCATATGAGGGGTCTGTGACCCAGCCTGCATGGCATGTGAGGGGTCTGTGACCCAGCCTGCATGGCATGTGAGGGGTCTGTGACCCAGTCTGTACAATGGGCTTAAAGGGTCTGTGGTCCTGCCCGACACAGGTACAAGCTCTGGCCAAGGCCTCCTCTGGTTTCTGTTCTCGTCTTGGCTGTTATCTCAGGACCCTGCATGATTTTGATTTGCGCGGGTGTATTCAGCTGGTGCCCAAGGTAAGCTTCAGTCATTTGACCTTGACCATTTCTCAAAACTACGAGTCTCAAAGAAAGAACTGTTAGCTTTGCAAAGTATTGATTAACTTCTTGGCCAGTTTTCCTACTTAGCGAGTGAGATAAGAAAGTCAGAGGATGGGAAGCAAGAGTGGAGAGAAAAAAACTGTCCTTTTTAAAATCCTGCCCCTCTCCACAGCCCAGGCAGCTTTAGGTGCCAACACGGCTTCGGTCCTGTTCACTCCAACAGGAAGACACAGTCTTTATTAACCTGACAATATTAAACTAGGTTAGGGGAGAATCACTTAAAATGGTGCCACCCAGAGATACTCAAAATGGCAGTTCCCAACCTACAGGACTTCCCCATAAAATAAAAAGACAGAAGGACTCATAACCACGAACCTAAAAATCACCTAGTTAACATAAGGCCTCAACGACTCCCATTGGATATTTCATTTAATTCCTCATTAACATAAGTTGTGGCCAATCAGAACAACACAACTCACCACCGGAAGAAAAGTAAGCCCAGCCCCTGCTGGGCAGGGCAGGCCGGGCCTTGTGCCTCCCCTGGGCCGCTGCGGCTTCCACGCCTAAGCTCCCCTCCTGGTACCAGTCTTGGCCAATCACAGATCTTTCAAGTCTTAGGTAAAATCTAAGATTTACCTAAGTCACGTGAACTAAAAGGCACTTGAGTTAGCTTCTTTTCTTTCTTTCTTTCTTTCTTTCTTTCTTTCTTTCTTTCTTTCTTTCTTTCTTTCGATAAAATATTTAAGTGCTTACTTTTTTTAAGCCAACTTATTTGAGCTCTTTCACGTTATCTTGACAGAGAAATATCACGTACACATGACACATATAGACATACAGATATGTGGACACACAGACAGAAGCTGCTCTTACAGCTTTCATTAAGATTCTTTATTGGCCAGTTGTTCTGCAATTTCTTTCTCCCCTTCATGCCACTGCCCGGAGCAACTGTTGCCAGCAGGCAACTCTAAATTTGCATTTCCAGAGGAATGACTCCCAGATGAAACTAGGTAAAGAATTTACAGAACTTTGATCTAAACAGTATTATTCACCCAAACAAAGAAAGGTGTGGGTGAAGGCCCAGTTAAGACAAGATGCCCAGGAAAAGCAACTTAAACACAGGTAAGGTTTGTTATGTAAACTTTAGGACAACGTCTTCCTCATTACAAAAGTTTCTAGTGCAAAGAGCGAGAACCTTACAAATGGAGATTTCCTTTCTAGATGTAAATTTCTTTTACAAAGAGTTTCAAAACAGCCAGTTAAGTGCCAGAAATTTGTATTTTGGAGGCTAGTTCAATTCCACGGGCAGCCTTTTCAATTTAGCTTATTGCTTAATCAGATCACTTGCTTCAGGGCAAAGAAAGTGTTTTCTTACGCCTGCTTGACTTGAGGGCCTAACTTTTATAAATACCTTATCTAGCTTTCTTTCTGCCTTCAGGATGTGATAGTAACTGGTTAGTGGACTTAGTTTTCTCATCAATTAGTAGCTTCAACTTTTCATTTGGTCTTCTGAAAACAGCCTTTTAAAGAGACGATAATTTTGAAATCTTTTTAGAAGCTTCTGGGTGGGCCTAATACAGGTGCCCTTGATTTAAAACGAACTGTAGCTCTTCCAAGACTCAGAGCCACTCCCAAAAACATCCAAACAAAGAGAATTAGATAGCACCTCGAGAAATGGCAACAGTACATCTAGTCACAAGTGGGGTGCAGCCCACATTTCTGCACAGCCATATTCTTGGGCACCTTTTGGTTGGCCGCCTGCACACATGCCCCTGGCAGACAGGAAGTCAAGTCAAGTTCTCAGGACAAAGATTGAGATGAACAAGCAAGCAATAGCTGTTCATGGAGAAGAAGGATTAATCTTAAAGTGTGGTGGTGTTCATATGGAATGTTCTTCGTAATGGCCATTGTAATTCCGAATTATTTTGAGTAAGTTTCTGCCACTTTTGTAAATATTTGCAGCTTCTGGGGCCATAATTTTTACACATGAAAAAGGCAGATGTACTGTAAGGCCTAGTACTCAGATCTTTGGAAATTAAGATATTATTATTATTATGTTGGATGTTAGCTTTCTCAGAGCTAAGATGGCTTTGGTTCCAAGATCTCCTGGACCTACTTAGCCAATAATTTTCAAGTTTTTGTCTGACCCAGGCAGACACCTGAGGCCCCCCGCACAACCTAAGGGTGCAGTATAAAAAGGGACCCACACACCTGTGAATTCCCAAAGCCAGAGTCCATACCCGCTGTGGTAATAGCCACTTACAACAACTGCTGTCAGTTACCTTTAAAACTGCGACGCTTTCTGCCAGTGACTTATGAGCTACTGCAAACCCAAAGGACATGTGCTCTGCCACAGCACAGACAAACCCATGGTACCCCCAAAAACCAAAGAGATTGTTGGAGTGAGCAGGACTGAAGCCATGTTGGGACCTAAACCTGCCTGGGCTCCAAAGGGGGCAGGGGGAGATTTTTAAAAGGACAGTTTTTTTCTCTCCTTTTTCTTCCCATCCCCTGACTTTCTTATCTCACTTGCTAAGTAGGAAAACAAGGCTGAGAAGCTAATTAGTACTTTGCAAAACTAACAGTTCTTTGAAACTTGCAGTTTTGAGAAATGATCAAGGTCAAGTGACTGAGGCTGACCTTGGGCACCAGCCAAGTACACCTGCACAAAGCAAAATCTTGCAGGGTCCTGAGATAACAGCAAAGATGAGAACAGAAACCAGATGAGGCCTTGGCGAGACCCTGTACCTGTGTAAGACTGGCCTAAAAGCACAATTCTTACTTGATGGGAAGGCTCATCTCGCAAAGACCAGGAGACACAGAGATCAATGCAAAAGCAAGAGGTTTTTATTTCCGGCATGCTGGAGGTCGCCCTGTTTTCAGGACAGGAGCGGCCCCGAGCTCTTAACTCAAGCATCTTTTATACAGTTTGGTAGGCAGGCTTTGGTAACAGGCTGGGTTGTACGCCGTTTATTGGCCACTTTAAGCAATTTTTAAAACCATTGGGCTTTTAGCTTTTGGCAAGCAAAGGAAAGACTGAGGTATTGACCAACAGTCCACCCCCCCATCTTTCCTCCCTTGGTGTCCCAAGATAAGGTGTCGTGCTGTTCCTGCAATCAGGTGAGCATACTCCCTTCCTGGGACAGGGTGAACTTTGGGCTCTTTGGAAAGTCCCTTCCCCCTGGCAGCGGAAAGTCCTAATCTTCTGGCGACAGAAGGTCTTAAGCACCTGGTAATGGAAGGTCCTAAGTATCTGGTATTGTTTACCAAAAAGGTTGGGGGTTATCTCTACTTCCACACCTGACCCATAGACACGGACCCCTGTAACTCACTCCTGCTTTTCACCCCCCACATTCCATTCCCTCAACCCTTCCTTTAAAAACCCCTCAGTAAATCTAAATCTGTGAGATGGGACAGCCCACCATCTCCTTCAGCTGAATAGTCTGCTTTTCTAACACCAACCATGTGACTTCTGAGTTTTTTTTCTTTCCTTTTCAAGGGGGTGGGCAGCTGGACCTGAGTCCGGTAACAAGACCCGGGAGCTTAAATGAAAAGAGAGCAGCGTTGGACCTGAGAGGGACTTATGTTACCAGGCATGCTCAGCTCCCGGCTGAGGCTCCCCAAAATTTGATATCAAATTCATAGGTCCAGCTGCCTGTCCCCAGACAAATATCAAACAAACAAAAGCCAGTGTTGGTAAAAATGTGAGACAGGATGGGGCTAGGTCTGTGAACCAAACTGACTCCATTTTCCCTGCAGAGGACATTTTGTTACTTTTCCAACCCTTGGTCATAAGA